TCCTGGAATTTTTCTCCCACAGAAGTTATAATATGGACAGATTTATAAAAAATGAGGAATTTCCTTAGGACTGGGACTGTTCTGCCTGATATTTATCTAACCTTCATCCATGAAAGCATCTCCCCAGAGAGATAAATGAGTCTCTCTCCAGAGAGCTGTAAGTCACATCTCACATCTCACAATTTGAAGGAATTACTCTAACACTTGCACAGTGGACATGTAATTATAATAAATGTCCTCCACCTGCAGTTGTGAAACTGATAGTAACTGTAGGTATAATTACAAGGTAGTTTTATCAAATTTACTCCATATGTAATAATGGTATGATGCTTAATACAATATTATAATAAAGGTCACATAAACTATAAATTCATAAGTGGTAGCTATAACTTCATTCAGTATGGCTCCTTAAAAACCATAACCTATACAAGTAAAATTTTTCAGTGTTCTTATCTTGTGGTCTGAACTTTTTAACTGTTCTTGATTTGAAAAAATTACCCTACTATTCTTCATTTAATGAACATAATGAATTATACATTTTTCTATTATTTTCTATTGCCCCTCCAGGAAGGAGGACACTGAGTAGGAATCATTAGGAATCAAACTTGCAGAAGTGGCAGCCCCTGGGGACTTGAGCTACAGAAACCTGTGTTCATTTATTGCACTCAGAGTGCACCACGCATCAGTACTTTACATGTGAATGCTCAACTGTTTATTAGAAGTTTGGAGAGAAGAGGTTAGAGTTCCAATCCTGCCACTCATGCACTGAGTCATTCATTCATTCACTCAACGAATATTTATCGAACACTTGCCAGGTATCACCTGACTACAACCAAATAGGAAACAAGACCGCAGCCATATTAATTATTCAACAAAGCCCTATATTGATCAGGTCCTCAACAGCTCAAAGATGGTGGATTGGATAACTTTAGTAGTTTAATAAAAAGGGGACTGTTTATGAAAGCGTGGGCAAGGTTATAGGGCAACCACAGGAGATAATGTAGTATCTCGGGGCTAGTTGCAGCTATTTCCAGCGCTAGGCCCACCACGGGGACAAGAGGAGAGAACTGTTGTGAAAACCCAGAGACAGAAAGCAGCGTTGGGAGAGTGCCACATGACAGAGCTATGCCATCCAGTTAAGGGATGCAGCCAGCCCACCAAGGACCTTGAAGAAGGGATCTGGGAAAATAACTGCCCAAGCCCACGCTCATCTCTCCCTCTGATTTCTTGCTGGTATTTTCTATTAGATGAACAGAGGGGCAAGGGGGCAGATTGATATAAACCATTCAGGTTAGCTTTCCCCACGCACAGAGCAGGGTAGAAAAGGATGGAGAGGGTTCTGGAGGGTCAGCTGGTGTATATCCAGCATGAATCCAACACTCCCAAATGCAGGGCTTCCATGGTTCGTGATGCTGAGACATAAGACATGGGCCTGGAAGCACAGGGGAAATTTTCTTTTGCTGCTTCTTAATCTAAATGGCTGGAGAGCCGAACAGATTGAAGTCCACGGAGCCTGCCAACTACATGGCCAAGGAACTCAAAAATCTGCGTACGATGATGTCCGTTTTCACATGGGATATGGAATTTGGAGATTCATTGCTCACTTCTCATTCCTATTGACACAAAAACTCAGCAGTTATTTGGGGATCCAAAAGCAATTCCATTCCCACTGCCAAGTATTAGTGAGCACTGTCGCATTTTCCTGACATTTCAAAGAGAAGAAGGAAGACTGAAGACTGAATTTACATTCATTCTTTCAGGGTGCATCATTTAACTCCAAAGGGCCCCCTTGGCCCTGTCTTTCAAAATGCTTCCTCCTGGCTCCATCTCTTATCTGACTCTGACCCCCCAGAGAATTCAACTCTCATCCTCCTTCCTCTCCCTCATTTATCATGCAAAGTGGATTCTGACTCTAACTGGAGGCTATCCAGCAATTTTTTTTTAAAAAACAAAGATATTCTCTTATCATGGGGAATTATTGTACTAACTGTCAGGAAAATAAAAAATTCACCAAACATTGCATTTGTGGTTAGGGCTAGCCCTAACCAAAAATTTGAAACAACCTTAATACCTACCCATGGGACGTCAATGATAAAAAGGGATGAGATAGATTTATATGTACTAATATGCAAGGGTAGATTTATATGTACTCATATAAATGACTCTAGCCCAGAGGTTAAGAGCTGAAATCCTGGATGGGGATTTAATCTAATCCATTTATGTTAAAATTATATACACACACATATGGAATGGGAAGACATGCATGTGTATGCGCGCGTGTGTGTGTGTGTGTGTGTGTGTGTGTGTGTGTGTGTAATGGGAAGGCTAACTTATATAACTCATTATTCTAAGACCTGACAAAATTAGGAACTTCCCTCCAAGAAGTGGGCCTCTGACTCTTGCAATGGAACTGTTATTCGTTGAAATGTGTCCCCATAAGGTATATGTTGACGTCCTAATCCCCAGTACTTCTGGAAAAAAAACATTTACTTCACTCACACATCTGTAGTCCAGGCAGGACTCAGAGAGGATAGCACATTTCTGCTGCACTCAGCACAGCAAGAGCAGCTCAAAGGCCAGGATCTGGAACCATCTGAAGGCTCGATCATGCATGTGTCTGGTGCCACATGTCCCCTACTAGAATGTCGGCTCCATGAAGCAGGGTTTTGTTTACTTAGTCCAGTTTATTTCCAGCACCTAGAGAAGTGCCTGGCGCCTAGGTGCTGAATCAGAGAGGATCATGAGGCATCTGCATGCAAGTGATAAATAGCTGTGCCAGTCCCAAGATCAGGGCTTCTGTGGGTGACATACATGAGGCAAAAAGCAAGGTTTGCAGGAGCTGAGGCCCTACAGGTCATATTCAGGTTGGGGGCAGGAGGCTGATTAGGAAGAAAGGAGATGAGTGTGGAGACAGGAGCATGATCAGATGACAAATTTACAGCCAATGTCAGGTTAAAATTAATTTTGCTTTCAGCTTTAACTGGTAGGGGTCTCCTGAGGCCCAAAGACACATTAAGACTTTAGCCTGTGTCACTATACATCAGCTGCTCCCTGATTCTGCTCCCTTATCACTTATTGGACAGCATGGAGAAAGTGAGAAAAACTATGAAACAGTATTCACGTAGTTAAGAAAGTAAACCTTTGAGCTTTCCAAGGGTGTGCTGGTAAATGTTTAACTGGCTCTCCAGAAAAAAAAAAAGAAAAGAAAAGAAAAGAAACAAAGAAAGAAAAAAAACCTTGATTTCTGATATTTGCTACTTCCATGCTGTAAATACTCTCACCAGGGCCAACTTCCCACCCACCAATTGCCATCACTGAATGTTTATTAGAAGAGAGAGTCACCATCAGCTCTCTCAAACCTGTACAACCAGCTCAGGCACACCACCCTGACTTCCACTTTCCACATTCCTGACAGAATTAGTTATTCTTAAAGGCCCAGCTCAATGCCTCTCTCTTCCTCCAAGGACTTGAAAGTAACAGGACAGCTCGTTTCTACCATTGCCAGGGAAAGAACAAGGCTCCCAAAGACAGAGATGCTCACATCCTTCACCTCTCAAGGTGTCAGCATCTTGCATGAAGTCAAGAGTCTTAACCAAAGTGTCGGCGAGTCCTGAAGTTGACCGTCATGTTTGCTAGCACAACATTCCCCTGGGAATAAAAGAAAAACCCACTGACAGTAGCTGAATCAAGTAGAGGTTTCTTATCCTCCCACTGCAAAACATCCAGGAGGGGTAGACCAGGGCCTCGCGAGGCCAGGCTCCTTCTGTCCCTCCACTCAACTATCCATCATCCTCCTTGGGGCTGTGTAGTCACAAGGCAGCTGCTCCACCTTCTGCATCACACTGTGTTTCAGGAATGTAATGGGCAAAAGATACATGATAGATGACTTGACCCCTGACTGAGAGCAAACTGGGAAGCCCCATCCAGGATTTCAGCTCACAACCCATGGGCTAGAGTCACGTCATGTGATCACCCCTTCCTTCAAGAGAGGTTGAGAAATGGAGCACATTCCCACCCGCCAAGGGCTCTGGTAGGCAACCAGAAGTATTCGTCATAAACATAAATCATGACAGAAACAAGAACATACACAGAGCAGAAGGACATAATTTCTAAGCTGTCAGGCTCCTAATCAGGGTGACAGGATCCACTCCCACTTACCATCTGCAAGGTCCTGATTGGTCACAGCCCCCTCCCCAGGCCTCCCACCTCTTCAAATTTCCCTTTAAGAAACTATGGTTCCCGCCTCTCAGTAAAGAATGCAATGAATGGCCCTAGCTATCATGTAGCAGGGAGCCCTTGAGGTGACCTCAGAGGCGATGACTCACATTGGCACAAGGGACAGTCATCACAACTGCTGTTCCTGGAGAGCTCCCTCCCAAAGATGGTTAAGTCCCACCTCCCTGCCAAGTCTGTCCACATAGGCTGGGCCTTTCTCCTCAGCTGGACTGCTCTGGGCCAGCATCTCAGACCCAAAGCATCAAACATTCGCCAGAAGAGTGCTCTTCAAAACTTTTGATCACACACTTCGTTAAAAAATGACTAGGCATATATATTTCTAAGAGATCTCTAGTTACTATTTATATAATATATGCATGTAACACTAACATCGAACGTATGCAAAAATAGAAATCTTAAAAAGACAAGATAAAAAATAAATAGAAATTCTAATATTTTCTCCCCACACCCCAGCAGCTCCTCCGACATGTCCGCTTTGGAGACCATGGTTCTGAAGTCGTGTTAGAGAAAGAAGTCAGCACATGTTATGCTAGCATCTAGTTCTTTGGGACCTGCGTTACCAGCCAACTGAGGGTGAGAGCCTGTTCTCCACTCCGGGTGCTACGTGTAGGCTAGAATCCATTACCCCACTGGCATTGGCTCCTGTCCAGGAAATTTGTCAAGAATCCACATTCTTCTTCATTAGCGCCCAGTCCAGAGCACTGAGACACATACGCTAATCAGGTCCCAGAAGCA